ATTGCTGCTCAGAAAGAGATCTTGAAGTCACTCATAAGCTCTGTCAAAATGTCAGTGGAGTGCTCAGCTGTCAGAAAAACAGAAGGCAAATTGAATGTTAGTTATTATTAGGAAAGGAAGAGATAATAGAAGTGAATCACTGAAAATTGATTTAACTGATGGGGATTCTTCCAAGTGAAAGAAAAAAAGCAGAGGGATATAATGAAGGTATATAAAGTCATAAATGTGAAAGAAAGAGGGAGAGTAATTGTTTACTATTCACTTTTTCTCATAATGCAAGAACTGGGAAGCATCAGGAAGCACTTTTTCACCCAATTATAATTAAATTGTGGAAGTCATTGCCACAGGATGTTATGGAAGCCAAAAGTGTAAAGGGAGTTCAAAAAGGGATTATACAAATTAATGGAAGAGAGTCCAATCAGAGGTTATTAAGTATGACATGCTGACTGCAACCTCTGCTTGGGAAGTTTCCATATTGCTGATTGCCAAAGCTAGGAGGAGGCTACTGAGGGAATGGTCCTTTATCCTTTGTCTTTGGCCAAGCATCTGCTGTTGGTCCATGCCAGAGACAGGATACTGGGAGACATAAAGCTTTAATCTGACCTAGTCCCTCTGTTCCACATTTTATTCTTATATTCCTATTCCTAGTTTAGTACAAAGTGAACTTTCTGCATGTTTAGTCATACATTGTGCAGTCTTTTCCCTTTTCACTCCTCTATCTGCCAGTCCACCAACAATTGTCTTCCATTCTTTATGTTTTTTTGTTATATTCACTACAGGTTGGTCTGTTTTTTAAATGTTTTTTAAAGGTGGATAAACTCCCTGTTTGCTCACTGCATAAATTCATATAATGTGTTCACTGGAAACTTAGCACTTGACCCTCTTTTCCTAGGTAAAGACTGTGTTTGGCCCAAAATTCATTAGTTAGTTTGGGTTTGTTGAGTAAATCTACATCTTTTTTGCCTGTGTACTAGAAAGTTGTTTTTCTTTTCTGTCAGGTCTTGTGCTGTTCTGTACTGAGCTCACGTTTCTATTGATAAATGAGATTTTTGCTTATTTGATCATTATTTTAGCAGTATTTATACTGCACAAAATGGGAAAACATGTTCAACTTGTCATGCTTGTATTTTAGAAGCCTGAGAGGATTAATAACACACTAAACACATGCTGGTTTGCATTGTGTATCTTTTAAAATGTTAGAAATGTGCCATTAAAAATAAAATCCAGAATCAGAAGGGTAGTCTTAACAAAACTTCTCTTTTTTCTCAAATTAGTTTCCAGGAAACAGACAATGCATGGCATGGGGGATGCCTGGCTCTGGCTGAACTAGGTAGAAGAGGATTGTTACTCCCTTCCCGAATTTCAGATGGTGAGTTGTAGTTGCTGAATGTCAGTAAGTTAATGAATTAACAATTTATAGTATTAGAGGTTGGATGTGTAGCAATGGACTGGAATTTGCTGATGTGAGGGGACTGAATAATCACTTCTAGAGTAAAAAAAATACACCTATGGGGACATTTGAAGTGCTTCTGTGAGAATCATTGTCTTGGGTGTGCCTTTTTTATAAGTAATAAATTTTTCTTTCCAAAATGAAATTAGTTTCTTGGGGTTTTCTTCTTTCTTCCTCCCTCCTGTGTTTCTCTGTGCAGTTGTCTAAAAATAATTCTGTATGTTTCTATAGTGTGTCAGTGTCATTATTGAAATAGAATATATTAAATAATTGGTGACTAACTTGCACTTTAAAGTTAGTAGCTTATGCTGTTTGTTTCTGATGAAATTTCAGAGGCCAGTTTTGCATAATTTATACAATGAACTGTTTATATTTCTAATGGGTTTTTGAAATATCAGGTTGGAAAGAAAAATAACAGGGCAGAGGAATTGTTTCTTTGTGTATTCTGTGTGTACCAACATACATTGAAGAACAGAGCTATGAAGGTGGAAATGGTGGTTCTCTGGTGATTTTGGTAATTTTTTTAGAGTTGAAATGACAAAAGCATGATGGAGTAGTAAACATCCAGCACTTCTAGAGCAGTATTTAGGGCTAGGTGATTCTTCTCATCTGCTACTCCTGTGTTGAACAGAGAAGTAAAACAAGTAAAACTAATTTTCAAAAATGTTTCAAAGCTGATGTTTCATGCTTGTAAGTCAGATTGCCAGTTATTTTTTATTCTGCAGGTCTATCTGTTGACTTGTTCTAGAAGAAACTGTAAAGTATGGTATTTAATACAGTTTATTGTTCTGTTTCCATGAAGAGAGTTCATGTCCAACACAGTATCTGTTTAGCATGTGAGAATTTTTGTGCAGCACCTTCAGTTGGTTTCCCTTTTCTGTTTACTTTTGCCCTTGTGTGGCAAAGATGGAACAGTTAAAAAAATAAATAACCCAACTTAAGAATGGGAGGTCACCCAAAGGTAAGCCTGTATCTCAGCACTAACAGAACTGAAACTGTACCCTTCCACCTTCCTCATGTCATAGAATTTTGTAATCTAAATTGGAAGTTTCGTGCAATTTTGTTCTTGTATAGGACTGGAAAAGACATGAGTGAAGTCTGGCTCTGTCAGTGATGTGACTTGTTCTCTGAAATCACCTCTCTTCACTTTTTAGGCCGAGTTTCTGTGTATGTAGAATGAGTCTGATGGTTGTATCCATTACACCCTTCCTTTTCTGCAGGTGTGCAGTGAAAGTTCATTGCCTGGAAAGGGCACTCTTAGGATACATAGGCTTATATGCCAAGTTTTCATTTGTCAGATTGCATACGATGTAGCCTTCTATTAGTGGAGTGGATGAATATAAAGCTAAGATGGGGAGGAGGAAGAGGAGGGGAGAACAGGAAAAGTGATTTGATGGGAATTGGAAGTTTATTAACAAAAAATTACTAAGAATTCCAACAGTCTATCTGTGAGAAGATGGGTAAGAAACCTAACTGGAGACTATCTTGACTAAACTGCACTTCTTTTGCTTATCTGATATTCAAGAATGAGCTATATAGAAGGCAAAAAGGTGTCATTCTGTGAGGAATGAGTAAAAGAGGGTAGTTTGAATTTGTAGGGGTAGAATTTGGAAAGATTTAAGTGTAGCTAGTTAAGAATGTATCTGGTAATGACAGACCATGTTATATCTTCATCAGAGTAAAACTGATTTCAGGAGATGAGGTAGACTTCACTGCTGGAGTTTATGAACAATAGAGATGGTGAAGAATAGATCCTTGAATTGTATGGAAAACCACCAAAAAGTGTTCCTTGTTGACAAATAAATGAACAATAAGAGAGATGAATGAGATTTTTAAAAAATTACGGTTGAGGGAAACCATGAAACTTTCTGCTTCCCGAGGTGAGCAAGGCAAACAGCCTAATGCAGTTTAACAGCAGTGGTGACACCAGCCTCTGTAACTTCATGTTTGGAAATTACGGATTTGGTAGCACAGGTCCCTGATCTTTAAACTTGGCCTGTAAAGAAGCTCTTTCTCCTTGTTTCAGCATGTACTGCTGTACAGCTTGATACATCACCCTTTCATAGTGCCTTCCTGTTGTAATTTGAGTTAATTGGACTTTTACCATATTCCCTTTGCTCAAACTCAGATTGTTGTTCTTGTCTTCTAAAAATCTAGGAAGAGCTTTTCTCAATGAAAGATTAAATTAAAGATCAGGTGAGGGTGTCTCTTATGTGAATAATGAGTCAATGGGAATTGTCTACCCGTAGTTTTAAGTGAATAGTACTTAGTCTGGGTTTGTTTTACTTGAACTGATGGTGCATAATGTGCAAATTTACGCAGTGGAACAGCCTTATCTTAGTTAAAGTTTTGTAGAAGTTTGGATAAGGTGGACAGCAGCTTTAAGGCAGAGGGAATTCTGAGATATGTCATATGGAGCTGAAGTGTGGATTAATTAACCTGCATCATGAACTTCCTTTACTGCTTGAAGCTGCTTTTTTTACAGTTGATTGGTATTCCATGCCATTTTCTGCTTGTAAATAGATTTAGCTAACAACTCCTTTGCTAATTTTACTTCAAAATTGTGTTACAGATAGTGTAGTGAGTGTATTTGTGTTCATTCATGACTTTCCATATTTTAAGGACAGGTCACAGTTTTATTTGAAAAATTGCAAGTTTATATACACAATCATAGAAGCAGAAAATAGTTTTAGGATGTATGTAGAAGCACACTGAAACTGGTAATTAGTGATACATGAATACAGAAATGAGACCTTCACCAGGAGAGTTTGCCTCAGGTGAAATAAATTATATGAGTAACCTTTAAGGCTCAGAGTTTGAAGGTTGCCCAGTGTCTGTCTAAGCTCAGAGGATCAGGCACCTAAACTTTAGATCTTCAAATTTTCGGTATTGCTTTCATAGTGGTTCAGTTAAAAAACTGCATTTGCTAAATTTCTTTGGTTCAACATATGAAAAGCTTTGTTTATCCAAGGTTTGGATCAGTTTGTTTTAGCTGGTGTCTGCCTCTTAGTAACAACACCTGGTCTGCTGTTTTGTTGTATGGCATCATGGCAAAGTGCATTCATACCCAAAACAGTTTTTACAGTAAATTCTAAAAAGCCAGGTTGAATCTTAAGCTTATTTAAACTACTGCACAGTGAAATAATTTTTTTAAAAAGAAAAAAGACAAACCTACTAAATGAAATTAAGCCTGAAAAAGACTATGACAGGATGTTATTGAACAGTATTGTTTCTAAAGCTTAAACACCTTTTAAGGAAACATTGTAAAAGTTAATTTACATTCATACAATTGCAAAAAAACCTTTAAGATTCCATCTAATGTACTTTGGCTTTAGTCATGAATGCAAAAATTCACTCATCAAAATCTGAGCTTATGCAATCTTACACAAGTTACTTAAAAATATTAATATAAAATTATGAACATTATTTACATGGGAGAGATTGAATGTATCTTGTCATGGATAAAACCCAAGAGGAGGTGATTTGTAGACTTTTTATGGTGTTGCTGGTAACTAGCTTCTATGACCAGAAACTCATGGGAAGTGGAAGACTAAGATACTCTCGTTCTCTTCCTTAAAGTGAAGACTCTGCTACAGTCATTTGACCTTGCTCTTTTAGTGCCCTGCTGGGATTTTGCCGATTCTTTTTGATTTGTCCTTTTTTGTCCTTTTACTTTTTGATTGCACTGAGTATCCTGAGTATCAGTAGAATTAAGAGCAGCTTCTGTACATGAGGTGTTACTGTCCTGAGGACTCTGCCCTTCACTGTCCACTCTCACTTTGCTGGGGCTGTAGGCAGCCAGCTGGCAGAGAGCTACAGCTGCTGTTTGCTTCTGCTCATCACAGCTGTCAATTATTCTTAAATCTTGCGCTTCATTGTGCTGAGCTGTGAAAGAAGATTTGTCACAGGCACTGTTGGTAGGATTCTTGGGGCTACATGCATCTGCTCCAGAGGTTTCTCTTTCGGTGTTCGGAGAAGTAGCAGCACCATTATCATGAGGTGGACTCTGGAATGATGTTTTCAGGTTTCCCGTGTTACAGGAATCTTTTACCGAGAGGTTCAGAGGCATGTCTTGCAGTTCTAGAAAGTTCTGACTTTCTGTTTTGGATGTGTTTTTATAGGCATGCTCGTGAACAGGTCCTGTGTTTGTGTCACCCTTTTTTGAAAGATTAAGGGGAGCTATCCCTGTGTCTTCTTCACTGTTGGACAGTGAGCCTTCATGGTTATGGCATTCATTCTGTGTGTGTGAATCTTCATCAGTGACGTTAATGCTGAAAGAAATGAGGAGAAAAGAGAATTCACTATTGGTTGCTCTTTTAATCTGGGGCAGAGGAAGTGGACAGGAAGAAGGGAAACCCAATCTGTCTAGAAGTCTGATAATTTTGTTGTTTTTCCTTTAACTCCCCCAAGTCCCTTTCACCATACAGAACACTAATACAGGTAATTACCTGTAAAAGACACATGCATATTAATGGTATTGGAAACACCTGATACATTTAAGGAAAACGAGTGGTCTATTCACCGTAGCAACTGCAAATGGTGCTGTACTTTGCACAGTTAATACAGAACAAAAGATCTCAGTGGTGTAAATTTAAATATATTTTAGGGGCATTGCATGAAATGTATCCATCTATCTTTGTGTGTCCCCAGTAAATCTGACAAGAATTTGTGAAGTGATTTGATTATTTTACCTGGTAGGTGAATCCCCTCTGTCTTGCTGTGTCTGCACACTTGGAAGTAGAGTCGGTTGATCAGTGCTTTTTCTCACAGGTCTGAAAGCTGTGAAGTTTTCTTCTGGTTGATCATACTTGCCAAGTGATGTGGAAGATGACTTGTTAGAGAGGTCAAATAAGCCTTCGCATGTGTGGCTGGTCTGAGTGAAGTTGGTTGGACTAGGTCTGCCAGGGGAGCCTGTTGCTGCACTTCCTGCAAGAGGGCTCATCTTAGCATTCTCTCTTTCATTTTGGTCATCTTTGGAATGACTTTTGTCATGCAATAATGTAATTTCTTTTTCATAATCTCCTTGTTTTTTATGTGAACTTAGAGGGTATTGTTGGGATGGGCTTAAAGAAGCTGGATACAGCAAGGTAGTTTCTTCCATTAGATGAGAATTTTGATCTCTGTTAATACCAGCTACATGTGAAAATCTGTAAAATGGAGGATCTGTTGGCCTACAAAATCCATATGGTAGTGGAGGAGTGGAATGATATTGTTGGAACAATCGATAGTGTTCATATGCTGATGCATTTATGGGTTTTGGAAGTGGCCCAGGATGGGGAAGAAAGTGTCTTTGATCTTGTGCGCCATAGACAGACAGAGCAGAGCTTTCACACTCTGAATTACCTGGTAGCAGGTAAGGTGTGTAGATAGCCAGCCTATGCTCATAAAAATGAGGAGAGTACTCAGGAATCATTGGCTGCATATAAGGTGAAATGGAACCAAAGCCTTTTGTGGGAGCAATTTTATGTGGGAACTCTGGGAGAAAAGGAGAACCTGCTTTCCATGGGTGACTTGGTGCATGAAATGCAGACTTAGTGTGAAAGGCTGAACTTTTGTTAGAGCGTGATACCATTTCAGATACTTCACTGGCTTCTGGGCCTTTACTATCTCTGTGTTCTCCTACAGGAACAAAAGCAGAGGGCCTTACAATGCTGTCCAGGAGGGGCTGCATGCCAATCGTGCTTTCTGTGGTAACACTGGCAGGGCTTAATTCCTTCTGCATCACTGGTTTTTGTCCTTGAATTGCTGTGGTTGTTGCCTGGTTTTGTAGTTCAACATTTTCCTTGGCATCTTCTTTTGCAAAAGAAAATGGTGGCTTTGAATCAAGGTTTGCCAGTCCATTGGTGACAGATTTAGAAGAAGATGGCTTGACTGTGGATTCAAGCTGATTGATCTGCTTGGGCTCCAAGGAGCTGGTTTTTGGGCACTTGATAACCCGATCCTGCTCTGATACTAACGTAATTGAGTTTTTGCAGAGCCCATACTTCATGTGGTTAAAAAGATGGGATTTCTCATTGCAAGTAAAGGGGCACTGAAAACACTTGTACTTAAATGGCTTTCCTGGTGGTCTTGGGATGTAATGAGGCTTCTTTGGTTTACGTTCTTTGAGGAGACTCATTTTTTTTTCTGCTTTAAACAATTAAATGTAATGATTCTGTATAAAAGCTTTCTTGTGGTTAGCTTTCCTCAGTTTTAGCCTCTTGATGTTTCCAGTTTTTCAGGTTTCTAGAATCCTTCTTCCCAGGTGAAGAGAGGAAGCCAACTCCCGTGGTGTCTCAGGGAAGACAGGGTGCTGGAAAACACCACTTTGGCAACTGGTAGTGCAGGAACTGTAACACAAAGTTGAGAATTAGCTGTAGTGGAACATTGGAACCCAATACAAAGTAATACATTCTTTTGACTGCCTTCCCCCTCATATTATATATGGTGTGTTGTGGGGTTTTTTAAACCCAATGAAAATACAAGGTGCTAGAGTTGAGATAAACACACGTTACACTTCAGCCTCCTTCTGCACCTAAACAGAGTCACAGAAGTGGCCTGATTTTCAGCAGTGCTAGTCACCTGCCACAGCTATGGGCTTGAAGGAGTTTACTTTGAAAACTGAAGGGACATTCATTCAGAAGATGAAAGTAGAAATCTAGGTGGAGCTGTTGAGAGAGGAGTGGAGGTGGGTAGGATGAGAAGAGGCAGGTCCTGGCAGCAGCTGGCTATGGGGCAAGCCTGTCGAGCCGGTTGGGGAGGGAAAGGAGGGAATTTCCTGCTTTAGTGAAATGAGGGTGGAGTGGATTGGCTGCAGTTGGGAGCTGACTTGGCTCTTTCAGAGACTGACCAGCCCCCTCTTTTAACTGGCATGGCGTTTCCTGACAGCCTAATCTCAGTGGATACCTCAAAAGTGGCCGATCTCTCGAAGGATAAAACCACACCAATTTTCTTCCTCTTCCTAATTCAATTAAGAGAAATGAGCACTGCAATATCTGACTAAGAGAATCTTCTGCTTGATAGACACATTTCACATTCTTCTGCTGGCAGCACCTTAGCTATTGCATGTATTTAACACAGACACACAAGTGTATTAATTCTGGTGAAAAAGCTCCTGGCAGTAATTGATTTATAGGGGAATGATCTATCTGCCTTTCTTCAGAAAAACTGAGGTTGTGGATACTTCATACAACCTAATGATGTGCTCAGTAGATAAGTCAGGAGGGCTTGTATCAGCTTGTCCCATTATGTTCACTGATTCTGAAGGCGTGAGAAACTCTCAGAGTCAAGTTCTCATGATTTTATAGGATGTGTTATGGCAGAGATCTAAAAACTGATGATTTCATCATGAACTATAAGCATCATTATCAAAATGATGACTGTTGCAAAACCACGGACTGTATCTATTGTGTTACCCGAAACTACAGGAATACTAATTGTAAGAGTGACTAGTTCAGCTTGGGACTTTTTTTTTTTAAAAAAAAAAAAAAAAGACAAGACGCTTTTTACATAGAACTTTGAATTAGCAGAATTAAAATACCGAGTTTATGAAAAGAATTGCTGGTAATTAGGTGCTGTGAGATTTTAGTTAAAATGAAGATAATTTGCATTTCTTAAATCAGAGAATATTTAATAGAAAATGACATGCAAGACGTTATGAAAACTGAAGGCAGAGCTACAGAATTGCTGCTTGTTTCATCAGGTATAGTAATTCTAGGAAATTGTGTTAAATGTTGTTTCTGTTGTCATGGACATATTAATGTTGTTCAAATAGTCTTTGTGAAGGCACCCTGAGAAAACTAAAGCTGTTCTATAAGTAGAAAAAAGAATCAAGCTTTTTCTTAAAATTAACACATTATTAAATGTGTGATAGCCTAAAAAAAAAAAAAAAATGTGTAGAGAAGTGGCTTTTTATTTTTCAGGTTTTAGCAAAGCTTTTTTGGTTGTTTGAGTTGAATGCTGATACTGTAACAATGAGAAAAAAAAATAGTTATACATCAGCATGTAAAGTCTTGTCATTGCAGTGAAATGTTGTTCGATAAATTAAAAAACATACTTAGTATTTACAAAAATATTTTAAGTAGTATTAGCCAGAATTGCTTGGAGAGATTCAGAATAATGCTTTAACATTTTAAAAAAAGAGTAAATGAAAATACTGAGACATAGGAGGGGAGTTCCAAGGAGAGACCTGGTCTTGTTTTTCTACCTTAGGTGAGCTTGTTGCATTTATTTTTGACTAGTGAGGTATAACTAATGTGGACAGTTTGTAATGGACTCAGTCAAGTCAGTTTGTACCCGTTTTTTATATCTTTTGGAAGTACTTGTAATAATTAGTTTTGAAAAACAAACAAAAAAAGAAATTGTTGTCAAAGCTCCATAGCATTCTTAGCTGAACCATTTATGATAACACTCTGAATTTGCATTCAGGTGCAGCACTTGTAATAAAGAGATGTTAATTAGATTTTCTTGTTCTGCTAGCTTTCCTTTGCTTAATAATGAAAATTCCTGTGTGTCCTGTTCCCCCTCCACCCCGACTTTGTACTTGGTATTTAACTTTGAGTCAAGTTATTCCTGTTCAACACAGTATGAACTATCGTTCCTTAATAAGATAAAATGCATTGTTGCAGATTTCATGTTAGAAGTCTAGAGCATTGGAGCCTGTTCACCATGTGTACAGCAGGGGAGGATTACAATAGATTTTTTTGTTGTTGTTGTTAATTTGTTTTGATGGCATGCTCAGCCTGCAGACAGCAGGGCTCCCAAAACCTGCTCCTGACTTGAGACATAGCTTATTTTAAAGGGTGTTTACACTTTGGTAAACTCAGGCTGGTGTCAGCCAGATGAATGTGCTGCTTCTCTCTTTTGCTATTGAATCCCTTTCTTTTTTTCTCATGCTTTAAAGATGCCAGTAACAAATATTTCTAAACCCAGACAAAAAGGCTAATTTCTCCTCCAGTCTCTTAAGTCAAACACAGGAGTATCTGGCAGAGGTTGATATTTCATAATTAAAACAATTAAAACTATTTGATCCCACACAAACAGCTGTAAAATACAATAATGATATAAAATAGGTGCAACCAATTTGAAGTGTCTTTATATAAATAATGCTTCTTACAGTTGTACAATACATGTTGTGTGCTACCAAAATAAAGATTAAGCCTTAGAGAGAAAAATCAAAATAAGTAGTTCCTTTTTCCTTTTACTTGAATGCTGGAACTTGTGATATCCTTTAAAAATGGGGAAAAAATTCTTCAGGAACAGAAGGATAATTTTAATGTAACTTTTTTCTAGATTGAAATTTTATTTCATGTATACCTGACTTTAGAAATGCAGATAGTTATATATTATTGTATTTTTTTTCTACTTTTGAAATGTAGTCTTATTACTTATTTATATTTTTACTGAAACCAGGTTATTCAGATAATATTGGTTAAGCTTGAGGTTTTCTTGGTTGTTTCTTGTCGATAATGTACGTCCTGATCTGTCGCCCTTTCCAGCCTGAGACTGAGAGCTGCCAGGTTTTTTCCTTGTTTTTAAAATAATTTTGTTGCTATCTCCTTGCCTTTAACATATTAGCACGTTCAGAAAACAAGAATATAGTTTAATATTGTGTGTGTGTATAAATAGATTTAAAAAAAGAAAAAAATAGTTCAGTGTAAGTGCATAGACACATGCACATTTGTATTCATCCACACTCATCCACACACACGTATATATATGTGCATATATATACCTGCATGTTGTTTTTTAGGTTTTTAAGTAGTCTAAATTGTTTGAGATGCCCAGTTGATCAAAGAGGAAATTTCAAAATGACTTTTATTACAAGCAGGGATGGTAATTACATTTTTTTTAGGACACTGCTTTAGCAAACTACGTAACAGTTTGTCATGCACACTCCATTATTATTGCAGTATCCTTTTGGTGATGTTGATCTCTCTGACCAGGAGTACTCACTGGGGTGGAACATTTTGAAGGACATACTATAATTAAAATATTGTGATGTGGCATTATTGCATAACTCAAGGACATGCCATTGTCACCTACCTAGAGTGTTGCAAGAACAAGACTTGTGAGTTTTATACTGGCTACGATTTTTCGTAGTTATTAACTACTGTTCCCTTCTAAACTTCTAGTTCTTTCAAACCGAAAGATAAACTTTAATGCAACTATTTGTTAATTAGGAGGAAATAGGGGTAAGAGGGGTGGGCAGCTGAGGACTGGAAAGGAAGTGGAGGTATGGAGAGAAGAGGACTGCGAGCTGGTGTGTGAGTGCGCGTGGGGTGTGAGAGAGGAAGTACAGACACAGAAATGAAATAAGTTGGTCAGGCAGCATGGATAAGAAATTAAAGTCTCAGATAATATTAAGTTAATAATTCAGTGTCTTAGCCCACTTTAATTGATCAGAGAGAGAATAAATCAGCCCAATTTTCTGTGTTAAATTCCCATAAGCTGAAAAACAATAATAAATCCAAACTGAAGTACCTTATTTTCATACAAGCTTTTCAGATTAACCAGATACCCTGGCATGAAGGGTGTCTGGCAGAATAAACACAGCAATTTGAAGCAATACAGCTTTTTGTTGTAGTTCAATATAACACATTAACTTCCTGTATGAAAAAAAGGTGCTTAAAACACTTTTCACCAACATGAATTAATTATTGTAAAAACTTGCACGAGTATGTTTTTCTCTCAAGCAAAAATATTTTCTTCTCCTGTTGAAAGCTTCTGCTGAAGGCTTAAATTGGTGCAGCAAATGCACCTGCTAGGAGTAACCTAGGCTTTCAGGACAGCTGAAAAATGAACACTCCTGATTTACTTTTTAGATGTTAATATGAACGGACTTTATTTGAAATAAAATGCTCTAAAGAAATGTACTTACCAGGTACATAGATGTCTGAAACCTTCAAGGTGCTCACTGTTGGTAAGCTGTAGCTGTCACTGCTGAGAGAGAAGTACCTGTTCTCTGCTTGATCTCTAAGTGAAACTGCAGGAGGTTGTTTCAGGGGGAGGGACTTAAGAAGTGTAGGAGTTGAGCCCTCGGGGTGTAGAGATGCACCTGATATTACTCCAGCCTGAAGCTACGATTCATTTGTTTGCGTCCACCGCTTTCATTCAGCGTTACCTCAGCATCCAAGCTAT